TAAATTGGCTCACCACTTTAGTAGCCTATTGGTCCCAAGCAAACGATTAACGTACCCTATTCTAGTTGAAATTCTATTACTACACTATGTTTGTTTTGATTCGCTATGAAAGTTTGACAGATAACATCAGGGGTGTGTGGATTCATGCAGAACATGCAGGGGTGAGTGAAATAGCTTGGGACTGCTTGGGACCGTTGTTCTGGTACTGAGTGAGCCAAAAATAATAATGATTTTCTTCGGGACCCAGTGGTCTTAGAGTTACCTCTATGGAACTACCCTGAAGTTCTAGTAGTTCTTCTAACTAACCTTAAAATGTACATTTACCCCTATACCGCTATGCCGCTGTCCTGGTGTCATTGGGTTCGGCCCTTTACCTGGCTCGTAGACATTTCAAAGACAACAATGTCTGCATGATGTTTATACATCGGTTCAAACTATGCGTATTGATAAGTTTTCTGAAAAGATTTGGATCTAGGTGCATAGTTTGCTTTGATAGTCTTTCAGTTTCTCTAGCATTCTCTAGTCTTAGCTCATCTAAATATTTATTGCAAAATCCCTGGATTAATCTTCAATTTGGCTTTGTTTTCTTGTTTATTTTCTATCGTTCTATGTTCTGCAACCGAGTGGCAACCACTTACGCTAGGGAGGCAATTGAACACCTAGACCTGGACTCATCAACTCAAGGGCCAGGATCCACGGCTGTGCTTCTTTTCGAAGGAAGGCATGACACCACCAAAGCAACCAAGGAAGTCATCAATCCCCACCAACTGACGAGTTTCGTTTGTGGTTCGACACATGGACGGAGCATTTGTGTTTTGCTAAATTTTGCAAATTATTGGGGAATTTCCCTAAAGTTTCACGCGGCCACCAGTTTTCACTCTTCCACAGGCCTTAAGGGTAACCCACATTAGATCTGCTTGCGTTGCGTTGTCGTAAATTTTATAGTTAGACAATATATTTAGCTGTCACTTTGCTGCATCGCGCCAGATCCGGATCTAATGTGGGTGGCCCTGTAGATTTGGAAACTTGATTATGTAAATACTAGGCATCTTTGTCTGGTAGTTCGTTCAAAAATGATACAACAATCGTCAAGCTCGCTGTAACGTCACCTAGTGCCTCGTCACCTACAAATTGGCGCCTATGTCAGTGGTCTAATAACTCTTAGCGCGCTAATGGCATAGTTCCCCTGCCGCATAGAGAGTTACCACAATGACATTAGGTTAGCTAAGGTCAGTTAACTGACTGGTGGGAAACGGGAGCTTACGCAATGGCTATTCTGTATGCATTTAAGAGATAGTCTACCAGAATGGATGATTTTTTTTGTACAATTTTATGTTTTCTGATTGTGCAAAACATGAGAATTAACTTTTCCAATGCTTTCAATTGTTGTGCTAGAAACATGATCTTGTAAACACTACACACCTTAACTGTTAGTTTGATTAAAAAATGCTGCAACAATCGTCAAGCTCGCTGTAATGTCACCAAGTGCCTCGTCACCTACAAATTGGCGCCTATGTCAGTGGTCTAATAACTCTTAGCGCGCTAATGGCATAGTTCCCCTGCCGCATAGAGAGTTGCCGCAATGACATTAGGTTAGCTAAGGTCAGTTAACTGACTGGTGGGAAACGGGAGCTTCAGCATTGACAGTTATGTACGCATTTTTATGATGTTATCTAACAACAATGGTGTGTAGTGTTTACACGATTATGTTGCTAATTCTAATGTGTTGTAAATATAATTGAAAGCATTTGAAAAGTAAGATTCTAGTGGTTATACTACTTAAAACATAAGTAAACATCTACATTTTAAAACATTCAAACAACGTTTACTTTAAACGTTTTGTACATCTGAAAACATCAGAGAACAACAAACAGGAAGTACAATTGAAAACATCCGAACAACGTTTAGTTCTAACGTTGTGTACATCCGAAAACATCCAAAAAACGTTTGGTTCTAGCATCGGGAAACATCTACATAAGAAAACATTAGAATACATTTACATATAAAAACATCCGAACAACGTTTAGTTCTAACGTTTTTTACATCCGAAAACATCCAAAAACGTTTGGTTCTAACATCAGGAAACTTCTACATTAAAAAACATCAGAAAACATTTACATATAAAAACATTTAAACAACGTTTAGTTCTAACGTTTTTTACATCCGAGAACATCCGAAAACGTTTGGTTCTAACATCGGGAAACATCTACATTAGAAAACATCAGAAAACGTTTACATATAAAAACATCCGAACAACGTTTAGTTCTAACGTAATGTACATCAGAAAACATCCTTAAAACGTTTGGTTCTAATGTCAAGAGATTGAAATTTTTGACGTCAGACCGACATTAGAATGGCAAAATTTTGTTCCAAAATTTCTGATGTATACAACATGTTACGTTGCTTAAATACAACTAAATCATAATGTTTTCTAATGTTTGACATCAGGCATACATTTGATTTCGATGCTGATGTAGACATCAAAATCAAACGTTGGGCTAATGTAAATTTCTATTCGGGTTTACTTCCCGAAGGAAGGCGAGATCAGAGATGCCTTAGAACATGCCGGTGGCGCCGACTGAGATTGGACCCAGGCCTGCTGGGGTGAGAGGTAATCACGCTAAACACCGGCGCCGATATCTTTCAAGGTGATATCACGGCGAATGAGACCGACCCAAATTTGAGTTTAGTTATCTCAGAAATAAGAAATAAAGTGCAGGAACTCAGCGATGAGTAAATTTGCCTCATGTTTTCCCCTCATTTGAGAAGTAAAGATTGGATTCACTCAGTCTATTGGTATTACTCCGAGACTGAATAAAATTTTCGTCAATTTCCTCATTTTCTGGCAGATTTTTTAGGTTTTCCACAGGAAACCAGGAGACAAATTTACTCATCGCTGAGTTCCTGCACTTTTGGCGATTATGAGTGAAGTAAACTCAAATTTGGGTCGTTCTCATTCGCCGTGTACGCAAAAGGAAAAGAGCCAGTGTCGCTACTTGATAGCAAACTACTCATAATGGGAGGAGTCTTTGTAGCTTTTATACCACCACACATCATTCTGCTTTAACCTGAAAAGATATGAAAGAGCGCTGCTGTATTGGCAAATCAAAGTTGGCACTCGTGGAGAATAGAAGAACTATGAAAGTGATGATGGTTTTAAAATTTTTCCACGGGGAGGTATACGAGTGCAATCTTAAAATGCTTTTATTTTGCAAATGGAGCAGTTTATTTAAATCTGGTTGCTGCTACAGTTGTAGAAAAGCTGAAATCTATGTGTACACCTAAACATCTGAACAGAAATGTTTTTTTTTCTATATTATATGTCTATTGAGTAGTCCTTAAGTTTTCTACTAACGTAGCATTAACCAGATTTAAATAAAATGCTCTATTTGCAAAATAAAAGCATTTTAAGATTGCACTCGTATACCTCGCCGTGTAAAATTTTGAAACCATCATCACTCTCATAGTTCTTCTATTCTCGACGAGTGCCAACTTTGATTTGCCAATGGCATTAGCTCATTTTCGCTTCGGACGGCGTGGTGAACAGCAAAAGCAGCAGTAGTGGCTAGTCCACTCCTTCACACCTAACAAGCAACAATTGACTGGTAAAGGCGGCGCCAAGCGTCATCGCAAAGTTTTTCGAGATAACCGCCATCGGTCGTCTGGCTCGCCGTGGTGGTATCAAACGTATCTCCGGTCTGATCTACGAGGTGTGCTGAAGGTGTTCCTGGAAAATGAGGTCCGTGATGCTGTCACCTACACTAAACACGCCAAACGTAAGTGGCCATGGATGACCTCTTCAATAAAACGGCTCTTTTCAGGGCCATCAAGCTTACATCAGTAAAGAGTTGGAATAGAATTTATCTGTGCTTGTTTGTCCATATTCAGAACCACAAGCCCCCAACGACCACACAAAATGCTCTCCAGAGTTGTAATCTTGTAACCAAACTTGGAAGCAGGGGTGCAAGTGATTTTGATTGACTCTCCTAATCAACTTTCTCTTTGAAAAAAAATACTACAAATTTGGTACGCCTACAATTCAAAAACGGAAAGAGTTGTGTAGATAATCAATTAAAAGAACTAAATGCTCACCACATTTATTCCGTCCACTAGCGGTCCTACGTCAAGCTTCCTTTCGTGCCCCTAGGCACAGACCCTTCTACTTTTTAACTAGTTCGTTTATTTACTAGGCGCAGTCGTGTGTGATTTGTTTTCCGTCGATCTTGTTTTCCGTGCTGAGCACCAATGCTACCGACGCCAGGAAGACAGTTCCCACACCTTGACCCTACCTTTCGACCCATCAACTCATGAACCGGGGATCAACGGCTTTACTTCCCTTACGAAGGAAGGCGTGATCAGAGATGTTATGCCTCAGAACATCCCGGCGGCGCCGACTGGGATTGAACCCAGGCCTGCTGGGGTGAGAGATAATCACGCTTACCACTACACCACTGATACAAAAACTTGTTCTATTGGAGATTTCCCCATTTACCATAGATTCAATGGTGGCAAAAAAATCTATGGTTATTTTATAGTTGTGGACAATACGATTTATTGTAAATACAATAAATTCTATTGTATGATAGCAATACATTTCAACAAACTTATGGTTCTTTTTTACGGGAATGGTAATTCTAAAGATGACCCTTACAAAAATATGTTGACCGCTAAGGTCCCAGATAGCTATCGCAATTTTTTTTCTAGTAATACAATATGCACTGTTCACATGCAAAAGCATTCGTTTGGTTATATATTACGTAATTTTTTTCTAGCTCGTTTTTAAAAATGTCTGCTTTTTTAATGCCAATGCTATATAATTGCTCAAACAAAAAAAAAACTTTATCTGTTATGCTTTATTGCTTGGTAATGTGAAATAGGGATAAAATTATTAAAAGAACATTTAAAATGTTTTCTAATAGCTCAAACATATAATAACATAAATGTACAAAACCATTAAACAACACTTGCTCATAATTACGAATTATATAATGCTCATTTACCTGCGTAACAGTCCGAGAGTTGTCTTTTACGGTAATGGTTTAAATCATCAACTGTAATATACTCGTGAGGGTTCCTTGTACTGAAGCGTTCTCGATATGATCCGTGATCCAGAATAGCAACTGAAAATATATGTTAGGGTTTACAACATTATTCAATTAAATAGCATCTATAAGTGTTTATAAGTTTCATAGAAGTCTAAAGATGGAAAGCATAAAAAGCTGAAGGTCTTAAAATGCAATTGTTACATAAGTTAAAAATAATTAGACTTATAGGAAAATGACGATCTCCCGACCGAACTTCTCAGCCTTTTATCAGAACTTTTGGTTACTTGAGTCATTAGATAGGGGAAACTTCTACCTACACGATGATGGTGTTGGTTTGTGTGGGCGGCCTTCGGTTTGTGAGGAATGGGCTTTGGAACGTTTTGTTTACAAATGCTGATGTGCCCTTTTCTATTGTTGATCCAGTACTGTCCGAATATATCTAGATAGAGATGGAATTAGGGCGTAACAGCTTTTGTAAACAATGACTTCTCTCGATGATTTCTAGAAAGCCAAGGCTCGCCCACTCAAATCAACGTCCCCATCGAGTAGGGGAAGACTTCTCCTTCCGTTGGTTACGTTGGTTTGCGTGGACGTGCCTTGAGTTTCGAGAAATCATCGAGAGAAGTCATTTTTTTACAAAAGTTGTTACGCCCTAATTCCAGCTCTATCAAGATATGATCACATCCTAGTTTTAAATTTTATTTATCAGTCAAATTGCTTTTTGACGCAACCTTCCGATCAAAATATTTTTCTATGTTACTTAAGTCGCCCGATTTCAATGGAGATGCCATTTGTCTTAAGTAACAGCGCAGAGAAACCCGTGAAAAGTGTACGTTTGTCGTTTCGCTTTCTCATTATTAAAGTGAATAAATCGAACTGTTTGTTGCTAAGATGATTTCGGTTGTCCTAAAATGATGAATGGGCTGCACGTAAGGAGACGTGATTGATAATTCTCCCGAATATCATGATAAATACACTTTGACTTAAGTTACTTTAGGGAACCACCAAATGACGTATATAACTTTTGACCAGTATGACGTATATAACTTTTAACCAGTATTTTTTAGCATGAAAGCTAGCGATGTCCTTTGTATGATTAAAACTCTGCTTAATATGTTAAACATTGCTATTACTATGAAATTATATGTGTTTAATTGAAATATGAATAACTTTTCGGTCATCAAAACTAAACTTTATTTTTCTCGGATTGATATGTTACTTCTACTATGTTACTATGTCGATCTTGTTTTCCGTGCTGAGCACCAATGCTACCGACGCCAGAGAGGCAGCTCCTACACCTGGACCCTACCTATCGACCCATCAACTCATGAACCGGGGACCAACGGCTTTACTTCCCTTACGAAGGAAGGCGTGATCAGAGATGTTATGCCTCAGAACATCCCGGCGGCGCCGACTGGGATTGAACCCAGGCCTGCTGGGGTGAGAGGTAATCACGCTTACCACTACACCACCGGCGCCGCTCGATTTAAAGTACTAGAATGGTTATAAATTACATGTTTAAATAAATTATATAAAGCAAATAACTTGTAAGCATTGCTAAAATCTTCCAAAAGTTTAAAAGTATTGACACGGTGTACCCAAAAAGTTCAAATATCCATTACGCAGCATTTAAAAAATTGAGTTAAATGTGGGTAAAAAACAACAGAAAATATAGTTAGAATTGTTTTTAAAACTGTAAGTTTTTTAATAGAATGAGAAGCAAAGAATCAAGGAAATTTGATGGGATGGATTTTTTGAGCTAATAGTCGATGTAGTCCTTACTACTTGATGCAGTACCAGAATTTATTAGATTTTATTAGTTCGATATAATTCTAATACTACTCTGAGGTTGATCAGATTTACAGTTTAATTCTTGACATCATACAACACACAACACCCAGCAGACCAGCAGGCAATTTTATTTTGAAGCAAAATTCACCGGGCTGAAGTAGAAATCAAAGCCTAACATCGTGGAACTCACACACAGTTTACCTAAACTACGGGTAACTCCACTATTCGCATGACCATTACGAATAATTTTATGCCAAAGATTACTTTTATTATAATACTAAAGTCTGATAGCTTCATTTTTAAAGTATCAGGATCTTGCAATGATTCTAAATTCCGGAATTTATATTTTTCCTGCGTCCCAGATCATGATTTTTTTTTTAGTCTGAATATACTTGGAACTCTTCACATGATATTGGCTCAATTTTGTGTCCATTTTTCTCTATGAAATTCTTAAAATATTCTTTAAAATTTCCTTGGTACACTCTTCAGAAAAACCGTCGCACTCTTTTCCAACTTATCCGATAATTTCCTTTGAACTGCTTTATAGGTAAGGTCAGAATTGATTTGAAATCCTTTTCAGTAATACCTAAGTACTCAAGTACTTTGCCAAAATGGTTTTGAAAGTCTTCCAGAAATTGCGCTTAAAATTTTATTAAAATTATCTCCATAGAAACATTGGACAGAATTCCTTTGATATTATTCTCACGATTCGTATCAGCATACTCCTTAAGTTTCATCATAAGAATTTCCTATGACTGAATATTTAACACTAGACAACGGACAACACACCACACCCATTAGACCAGTAAGTAAATTTTCAGTTTGCCAAAATTTGCACCGGCTGGAGCGGGAATCGAGCCCTCACTTCGTGGCACTCACAATACACCTAAATGATGGGTGACGCCGCACGACCCCGAAGCCCACAAAGATGGATGTAATTGAAAGTTTCCTTTGACTTCACAAAAAATTCGCCTCACACTTAACTGTGAACTATTTTCAGATTTACCTTAAAATTCAAATAATGTCCAACGTTGATGGCCTTTAATAATTTAAGTAGCAAGTTTACCTTTTAATTTTTTTTATTAGAGTTTAAATCAATTGCAGTGATATTTTTCAAGCAACATGTTTAAAAAATCGGGGAAAATCTGGAAATATACGTGGTCTGTCTGTGTATCTGGCAAGACGACTAAAAATCTGGAAAATCCAGATAAATCTGGAATACTGGCAACGCTGGCTGCAGTTCGAGCTGCAGTTGCTAAATATAATCAATTTTCTGTTTTTTTCCTTCATTTTTTCCCGTCGATCTTGTTTTCCGTACTGAGTGTTGCGCGTTTCACACCAAATTGGACTAATAAGCGCGTTTTCACTTATTAAAAAATATGATAAAACTGCAATTTTACGGCTAATTGTCTTGATGCCTTCGGTACACTTATTCCTTATGATGCAAGCAATAAGTGCTCCGAAGACATTAAAACGATTTGACGGAAACGTGCACTTTTATCACACTTTTTGCATTTTTGGGACAGTCCAGTTTCAGATGCAATCAGCAATACCAAAGCTCCCGACGCCAGGAAGGCAGCGCCCACACCTGGACCCTACATGTCGACCCATGAACTAATGAACCGGGGACCAACGGCTTTACTTCCTTTCCGAAGGATGATCAATGAAAAAGAAAACAAAACATAAAAAAATACTGAATAGTTGAAACAATATGATTTCTTTTTGCAGCCAAAACAAAATGAAATTCTTATTGATTTTACGTCAAATATTATAACGTTTAAAATACTTTTTTCTGCGTGTAGGTCGTATAAGAATGCATAAAAGGTATTGTGACCATTTATACATTTCATTTGACGCATAATCTTGATTAACTTTTTTGCAAGGCATCAGTCAATTGACTTATACATTTTATGAATAATCAGTAATGGAAATTTGCTAAAGGGATATCTGTGGCAGCCTATTCAGCAGTGTATTTTCAAACAGACGAAAAACATGAAGAAAAAATTTTAAATTTGTTTGTAAAATATGTAACCATACTATTTAAAAACTACATAGGATATCAACGGAAATACCCTAAGCTACAATATGCAACCAAAGTTTATGATTCAGAAAAAGCGCAGTGTAAATTTTATCACTATATTATACTCTTAAAGTTACCGGCATTATCAGAGATACCCCGTTTTACAGTTCATTAAAATTTATTGTTAAATTGTTGGACCGGAGAAAAAAATGATATTTTTAACGATATAATCAAAGATGAATAGTAAGATGAAACTGTCGACCGTTAATTTTTATACTGTACTTCAACGACGTGCATCTGCTCCATTGCTGACTGTCACTTTTTTCAACGTCAACTGAATGTATTCGCTAGTTGGTGCAGGTTAAAGAGAATGGTAGTGAACCCAGCCAAATGCTCCGCTATTACGTTCTCACGAAAACAACAACCGATCATATTTAGCTATGACCTGCTTGGCTCGACAATCGAACGCGTGAATCAGGTGAAAGACTTGGGTGTGATCTTGGATTCGCAGCTTTCATTCAAGCAACACATTGCATATGTTGTTGATAAGGCGTCAAGAACTTTAGGGTTCATTTTTAGAATAGCTAAAAACTTCACTGATATCTACTGTCTAAAATCTCTCTATTGTTCGCTTGTTCGATCGACGCTTGAGTAATGTTCAGCGGTTTGGAACCCAAACTACAACAACGGTGCCAAGAGAATTGAATCTGTTCAACGTCGCTTTCTTCGTCTTTCGTTGCGTAGATTGCCTCCGTTTCGATTACCCAGTTACGAAAGCCGTTGTCAACTTATCGACCTAGAACTTCTCCAGAGGTCAGAAGTAACCACGCTTGGATAGTAGGGTTAATCAATAACTTTCCATCTGTCAAATTTTAACCAAAAGTTAAAATAATCCACCAAATGGTTCAGAGCCAGAGTTGCATCTGTTCTCGACTTTCATCTCTCCCGTGATGCGCTTCGTCGAAAGTTTTCTTCTGTTTTTCGCCGACAGAAGTAGCTGACTATAAGATATATCGACGGCGAATACGCGATGATCGATTCTCTTCATCGATTTTCTCTTTGCATTGTTACTGCTAAGCGAAACAATTTTCTAGAATTTGTTCAATGCAGAGTAGTAACAGGTTGTATTGGCTATCAAAAGCAACAGCAAACGCACCGAGAAACGTTAAATCTAGCCAGTTATTAACAAAAGAGAAAATCGACGAAGAGAATCGATCATCGCGTATAGGCCCTTATGCATGCTCACTGTCGATATATTTTTTAATGTTTTTTTATGTTATGACCATGCTTGAATATATTTTTTTTTACCATAGTTGATAAGGTTAACATCATTGGGGCTTCATTCAGCCTATTGATGTAAAACAACAATAAAACAAATAAACAATCAGCAACTGAGTCCACTAGAAAATGCCATTCGATCTTTCCAACGCAACAACGAATAACGTTTTGTTTATTGCCCGAATAAAAAAGCATGTCCATAGAGATTGCTATAGTGTGATTGTGTCAGTGATTTGTTTTCACGAGGAAAATTTTCCGCAATAATGAATTTTTTTTTCCTGATGAAAACATTTTGCGTATACGTATACTTGAGGTAGGGTGCGTACGATAGACGTCAGCAATCTCTATAACCTTAGCATGAATTAAAATTTTATTTGAAAACTAGTATAATTTATATATTAGATCGACGCATATCACAATATTTTTTTATAGATTTTGTACAAGATTCATTCATTTACACGACCTAGCACTGTAATTTAACAGTTTTCCAAAAAAAATATTGAAATTTCCAACGGCTGTCACTAACTGATCACCGTCGGGTAGAGCTTATTCCTATCACCAGGCGCGCATTAGTTGGATTGTATCCGTCAATAGTACGAGTTTGAGTTGAATGATACCATTGACAGACATACAAAGCAGTACCGTTGTACCAACAATCAATACGAAACTAACGATTTTAAATTGGCTCACCACTTTAGTAGCCTATTGGTCCCAAGCAAACGATTAACGTACTCTATTCTAGTTGAAATTCTATTACTATGTTTGTTTTGATTCGCTATGAAAGTTTGACAGATAACATCAGGGGTGTGTGGATTCATGCAGAACATGCAGGGGTGAGTGAAATAGCTTGGGACTGCTTGGGACCGTTGTTCTGGTACTGTGTGAGCCAAAAATAATAATGATTTTCTTCGGGACCCAGTGGTCTTAGAGTTACCTCTATGGTTGTACTCCTTTAATCGAGTACCTCAAAAGGTACAATTTGAGGTACTAGCTTAAAGAAATACAACGGTAGTACAACCAACAATCAATACGAAACTAACGATTTTAAATTGGCTCACCACTTTAGTAGCCTATTGGTCCCAAGCAAACGATTAACGTACCCTATTCTAGTTGAAATTCTATTACTACACTATGTTTGTTTTGATTCGCTATGAAAGTTTGACAGATAACATCAGGGGTGTGTGGATTCATGCAGAACATGCAGGGGTGAGTGAAATAGCTTGGGACTGCTTGGGACCGTTGTTCTGGTACTGAGTGAGCCAAAAATAATAATGATTTTCTTCGGGACCCAGTGGTCTTAGAGTTACCTCTATGGTACAACAGTGTACATTGTATGTCTGTACAAGGTATGACCACCAGGGGCTTCATTGCACAAGTCGAAACGAGCCATTTTTGTATAAACGCTTGTACGAAAAACTTTGTCGCTTCGACTTGCGAAATGAGGGCCCAGCACAAGCAACTCTCTGCATAAATAATAAAAAAGCGCCTAACAAACAATTAGGGCTATCAGCTATGGGCGTCCCATCTATGATATCGACAGTGAGCATGCATAAGGGCGTAAACGCGATGATCGATTCTCTTTGTCGATTTTCTCTTTTGTTAATAACTCGCTAGAATTAACGTTTCTCGGTGCGTTTGCTGTTGCTTTTGATAGCCAATACAACCTGTTACATTTCTGCATTGAACAAATTCTAGAAAATTGTTTTGCTTAGCTGTAGAAATGCAAAGAGAAAATCGATGAAGAGAATCGATCATCGCGTATACGCCCTTATGCATGCTCACTGTCGATATCATTAGTGCATGGTACCCGTTTATTAGGGTCGAAGCAGGTTGGATAGACGAGTGCACGGATGGATTTGAGTTCACTCACTCGACAAAAAGTGACACAACAGCGGGGCCCTGTTTACTAAAAATGAACACATGAATAATGCTCGCGTAACATTTGAAACTCAATCAACTTTTGTAAAAAACTTGCTAGGTCCTTTTCACCATAACCGAAGTACTCCCACGCAAACCAAGGGCACTATCGGGAATGGGGAGAATTTCCCCTATCCGATGGTATTGTTAGTTTGCGTGGGCGTATTCGGTTCGCGCGAAGAGGACTTAACAAGTTTTTTGTACAAAAGTTGATAGGCCCGTTTCAAATGTTGCGTGAGTATTATTCATGTGTTCATTTTTAGTAAACAGGGCCCCGCTGTTGTTTCACTTTTTGTCGAGTGAGTGAACTCAAATCTATCCGTGCACTCGTCTATTGGCTAAATGAACGCCAAAAAGATCGCCAAGTTGTTGCGATATGTTTCGACCTCTGTAACTTATATACTTACCAAGGTCAAATCCACCGCTCAAATTTGGTTGTGACAATGATTTTCCTCTAATGTTGACATCGTCGAAGAAATAGTTAGCAATCCATCTGTAAGTATATTGAAAATTAAAATTATTAAATGTATGTAGCACTTTTATAACATATAGCATTAACCGTGGCATTAACTTGATGAACATTTGCAAATAAATTAATGGAGAAATAATCCCCATAAGGTAGCAAAGGTGATTCATAACTTTTCGGTCCGTCTCGTGATTGTCATCCCAACATTAAATCAAGAGCAAATTTTCATTACGTCGAAAGTAACAAAGGTAGAAAAAGTCGAGCTATCAGTGTCAATCGATGCTCCAGCTATTACACTATATATAATACTGTCCGAATATATGATCACATCTTCTTCTTCTTCTTTTTCGCGTTTCAAGCTTATTGCATATCGCATATTAGCTTATTGCGTGCTCCCAACTTAGTGTTCTAGATGCACTTCCACAGTTATTAATTGAGAGCTTTCGATGCCTGTACCATTTTTGCATTGGTATAATTATGTGGCAATTCCAATCATACTTCTATGCCCAGGGAAGTCGAGAAATTTTCCAACCCGAAAAATTCCTAGACCGGACCGGGAATCGAACCCAGCCACCTCCAGCATGGTCTTGCTTTGTAGTTGCGCCTTTACCGACTGAGCTAAGGGAGGGATATGATCACATCCCAGTTTTAAATTTTATTTATCAGTCAAATTGCTTTTTGACACAATCTTCCCATCAAAATATTTTTCGATGTTACTTAAGTCGCCCGATTTCTATGGAGATGCCGATTATCTTATTGCTCTTGTACACTTGGTCAAAAGTTGTGCAATGTACAGTTTGAAAATGATGGGTACATGATTGTTACTTCGGTCATTCGGACTGCCTAACTTGATTGGTGCTCATTTTCTAAAGGCGGGGCCAATCTAAAGTTTGGTATTTTACTCTGAAATCTGTGAAAGGGAATCTAGTATCATGTAGAACAAAACGTCAAATGTAACACTCAATGATTATGTAATTGAGAAAAATTGTATAATTTAACATGTCCGATGTACAACTTGACTAGACAAAACGTCCTATGTGGTTTTTTTTTTCTATATTTGTAGCATGAAATTCAAAGTAAAATTGTGATTTTACCGTTTCTACTGAATTTTCAACGTTATTATTAACTGACTACATCAAAAATAGTATAGCAAAATATATTGTTTCTAAACAGTTAAAATAATAATCTGTTGAACTTCAACTACGATTTTCTCAAAATGGCGGATGTGTAACATTGGTCTATTTGAAAAGTGACGCGAGAATTCGGGAATATCCTGGTAAATACACTTTCCCTTAAGGGGGGGAAATACAAGTAACACGTCAAAAACTCGACGATTTTCGGAATTTTTTGTGAGCAAAAGAAACAACGCAAACGTTTGGGGTTTTTGCATTAAATTGCTTCAATCTTCCTCTACATTTGAGATTTTTTTTTTTTTTTCATTGGTGTGTGACCTCTGTGGCTCCTTGGGGTCACATCGGAAGGAGGTCGCCTCCGGTGGGGATTATAATTGGCGGGCGTTCTAGAGACCTGAAAAATGGACATAAAACTTACTTTTATCAATTGGACCTTATTCAGAAAAGATTTTTGTTCTATGTGAATCTCTAAAACCCAAAAAAAAAACGATATAAAAATTTAGGAAAAAATATCTGAAAAAAAAGTTGATTTTTCACTGTTTTTTTTTCACTTTAGGCAGACCTGAAAATTATTTTTTCATGATATCAGAGGTTCACAAATTTATTTCCTTTAAGATGCGCCAGGTTTCAAGTCATTTGGATGAGAACTTTTTGAGTTATCTTTCGGCGGCGTAGGCGGAATCGGTGCTCGGAGCGCTGTTACATAAATATCGATATCTCGGTAACTACCGGTCTGATCGCTTAGATATTTTGCATAAAAAAAAACTTCAAAGTATAAGCAATTTTTTAAAGTAAAATATAAAAAATCGATAAAAAAAAATTTTACTTGTATTTCCCCCCTTAAGTAACATTAGGGGGCCACCAAACGACGTACATAACTTTTGACTAAAAAAAACAGTATTTTTTAGCATGAAAGCTAACGATCTCCTTTGGATGATTAAAACCCTGCTTAATATGTTAAACATTGTTATCACTATGAGATTATATGGGTTTAATTGGAAATATGAATAACTTTTCTTTCATCAAAATAAAACTTTATTTTTCTCGGATCGGTGCGAATGTTACTTTCGACATAATCAAAATTTATTCTTGAAATAGTTAGCTTTTATGCAAGCTTCTCCGTGTGCTTATTATTAACTTTCTTGTGTATTCTTGAAGGCCGGCGCACAATAGATACGTTTTCGGGTTTTTTGACAGATAATGCATGGGTTAACTGTCAAAAAACCTGAAAACGTATCTATTGTGCGCCGGCCTTGAGAGTTCAACTAGGAGCCTGTCCATATACCACGTGGACAGTTTAGAGGGGTAGGGGGTTGTCGAGTGTCCGTGGTTCATACACTGTTTTATTTTTATTTCGTCGATGGCCTCTCGGACACCTGGAATAAAACCGGAACCACTTGGCCTATCTGTTCCAATTTTCTGTAGACCATAATTTCGAACATTTTGCTACTTATTGTGAAAAGTTCAGCCAGGTGAACCAAAAATGTTATACCCATGTAACCATTGCTATTCATAGGCCTGTGCGTTATGCCTTCACCAATAGTAAGGCGGTGGTGTTCATTTGAAACGCTAATAACTTTCCAGGATTAACTCGGATTCACATCTGGTCTTGAGCCAAGATTTTCCCAATAATCCAAAGGTTCTATATTTTGTACACAAAGAAAACCGAGCAACTACAGCGCCACCTAGAGCCGCGAATGTGAAAGTGGCTTGTTCCCCCATACATTTTGTCGATTTTTCCCATACAAACTTCAAGCCCTTTGAACGAGGTGTTCCCGTGAACCAAATGACTTCATATTTTGGCAAAGTGTTTCTAGCCCCCAAAGGACAATTCCAGGGGGTAGCGTTTAAACATACAGACTTTGACTTGTTTCCATAAAACTGCCCGCGTTGTTTATGAACAGCCTCTGTTGGAATTCGGGAGCTCTTCTAGTCGGTTTGGTTGCAGTTGCTTCAAAACTATATTTATGAAAGATAACAAAAAATAGCCAGTTGAATTCAGAGTCACAACTTCAATATTACATTTTAGTTTTTCCTTACACACTGCAATCGGGTCATGTTGGGTTGTTGCTCGATTATTTATGGTGGGCGGAGTTGAATGGATTGACCAAGAGGTTGACCTACTAGTCGAATAGCAGATTGTATGTGGCGCAGTTGTTTAATTTTTGCTCAGTTGACGAACTGATTGAAAGTCCATACACACTACAACCAACAACAACATAATACAGATTCATGCATTGGTTGGCATAGGAAGCTTTCAGTTAATAACTGTGACATGCAAGCTTCAGGAAAAGTCATGTGAAAAGAGGGTAATCAAAGCATTACTGAAAATTTCATAGAAGCTCGCAGAAGTCATAGCTTAATTGGACTTCTAGGCATTTTACGCTTCTGTAGCAAGTCTTTTGGTGGTCTATATGCAAAGTAATTAATTGAAAGCTTTCTATGCCAACCAATGCATAAATCTGTATTATGTCCAGGGAAGTAGAGCAAATTTCCAACCTGGGAGTGGAACATACTGACTTCTTAAGGTGATACGATTCAGCGTCCACAAATCATAGGCACTTTCACCAACCGGTGAACACTCGTGTTTATTTCAGTTACCATGGAGACGTATTTTGTGATTAGCCCCGGTCCCTTTCAAATTGTATCATTATTTATGAACGGCCTTATATTTGAAATGACGTTTCACATTCATCTAGTGATGTCCGATGTTCATTCGAATAATCGTTTAATCGATTAACGAACCGAAAAGTAAACTATCTATAATCGGTTAGATCATGCCGATATAAGCATTAACATCTCCACAGGATCATCACCGATCGTTTCAAACATGTGCTGCACTCTCTCTGGTGGAAAAATGGCAGCACAGCGAACAAAAAAAAATCGATTAGTTGTTAATCGAGTAATTAAAAAATGGGACATCTCTGATTTTGGTGTGATTGTTTTGATAAAAATGAGCGCAAAATTTCATCTCTTCCGAGGGGGCAGCAAAACCTCGAGCAAAACCACAAAATTATCTTGAATACGGGGGGTTCTCATTGGATGAAAGGGACCGTGAAAGAAGACACTAAAATAGAAAGTTTTTCTTCCGACAGTTTCATCTTAGTATTCATCTTTGCTTTCACTGCCACTTCAAGTTTTCTAGGGAGTTAATCTCGGGCACTATTGCGATTTGATGCACTAAATTGTCATCACTGTTTTGTTATTGTATGTTTTCCGATAGCAGATAATGGACTCCTGGAAAAAGCGAAGTGGAATCAGAGCTCGAGGTTCTGGATCGTATCACCTTAAAACAATTTCTATGTTCTGCCTCCCGCTTTTCATTAGTCAGCCATAGATCCCTTCAGATCGATCGTGTTTGTCATAGTGGTCTGTGGTTTTTTGTTCATAATTCCGTTATAATAAATCTGGGACTTTGAACAGTTATCTGAAGTATATGACTTGGAAAATTGGTAACTACACGGTAAGAAAAAAGTACCCAAAATTGAGTTCCTTTCACTCATCACGTGGCTTCCGTGGGGCTAGGTAAAATTAAGTTAAAGAAGAAAACTCAATTTTGAGTAATCCTGGCGTTGACAAAGTTGACAAAAAAATAATAAAACGGAGCAGACTGGAATCGAACCATGGACGTTGAGATTACGGGGCCCGTGTGTTGACCACTCGTCTATCAACGCTTGTGAATATGAAATGGTTAAAGGCGTATAAGAGCAACCTCAATGAAAATAAACTTATATTTGAGTTCATTTATTATTACTCAATAGTTGAGTAAATTTTAACCAACGCCGCTTTTCTGATTCACTCAACGGCGGACCTCAAATGATAGAACCCAACGTTGAGTTTTTTTAAACTTAAATTTGAGTATTTTTTCTTACCGTGTACACTACACAGGCAATG